ACCTTCATCCACGATCTGACAACTCGATAAGAGGTATGTTTATAATGAACAGTAGATTCCGAAACTGGTTTTGGTGGTGAACTGCCAATGTTCCTTGCATATTGTGGCATGATAGAAAATGCGTTACTACCATATAGAGGTGTCTGAGACCTACTGTCCTGATCCGTGCGACGCAACCTGTCGCCAAGCGAAGATGTAATTTGTGGAGACGAAAGTGTTCATGCAATTAAACAAAAAGTTTGTTGTTTCCTTAGGGCTCCATGTTGATGGTTTCGGCCACTATTTTGTGGAGGTGCTTATGGACATCCAAGTTAGCGTTGTAGTTAGAGCGTAGACATGTCTGGTGTGATCTTGTGGGTTAAATGTGTGCTGAACGGAGGAAGGTGAATCAAACGAGAAGTGGGGAAAAAATCACACGAATTTTGGTGCATCTCGACACAATGGAGACAGGAAGTTATAGTTGATCGTCGTTTAAACAAAAGGTTATTAATGCTAGACCTGACAGCCAAAATTAGTATTTCCCCTTTCTAGGTATATCCAACAACAATTAGATCTCTGGGTCAGGGTGTATGCAGTTCCTTCGCTCGACTAGGGGCGATGTCAACGCCATACGTGGCTGAGGTCGTTATGCCTGATGTATCAGCTCTCCTTGGTCTTTCATTCTATAGCGGTGTTTGTCTTCTTTGTGCAGTCACAGCCCTTTTCTTACCCATCGAAACGAAAGATCGTGCACTTCAGGTAATTAATATCAACCACTACTTTTACGCATTGCGACCACGCTTGCTTCCACAATTGCCAATGCAAACTTTCACTCCTCCAGACTTGTAACAAACCCTCTAGGAATGCATCTTGTAAAGTAGCGATCGGTCCAAATGCGCTAATTCATCAACTTAATTCCCATAAATACGATGGACTACACATCCAGAGATGGAGTCGCAATGGACATCTGGTCCACACACTAGTAGCACTGGTGAATGCCATTTAAATTGAACACAGAGTGCACTGTGAACACGAAGGATAGTGAATTTGCATCCATAAATTCTGATTCGTGTTTAGAATTCTGTTTTGGAAACAGTTGAAGTCCACTTCCGTCGATTTCCCAGTGATGAGAACGCGCCCAATCCCACACTCACCCCAGCGTCCTAATCTAACTTCCTTCATGCCCTCAGGACTAGAGCAAAGTGTCAATTACACTTCAATAAACTCGAATGTATTTATATGTAACACTAAATAAAATAACACAGAAGAAGCACTATTCTTTTCTGAGTACGAGAGATAGCCAATAATATGCCAACCTGGGGGAAGCGAGCGCTTTATCAATCTAAAAGCACATGTCTATGCAACCTGAACGTTAAGGTGCAATGCAATAAAAAAAACAATCATAAGATACACCTCTTTCGTGTAATCTGATAAATAGCAAATATCTTGGTAAGCACAGAGCCAAAGTCTACTTTAACAAAACAATTCAGCGTCAAGAAAAGTCTAAAGCCAGTTTTTCAACCGCATCTGCAATGTCACTTGGATTCCATCCGCCTTTACCAAAGTTGAAAGATCTACCTCGTCGAGAAGAACCGTTGAAAGGCTTTTGTCGTTTGCTTCCATTCATTTTCGAATTATTACAATTATTACCGTAACTTCTAAATGGATACTTGCGATTAAAAGGCGCACGCGGCCCCGAGACATTGCATCCAGGATTGTTCCTCCAAAACTGAGACGTGTCATCACTGCTGGCATAACTTCGATCCTTACAATCTTGTTCCGAGTTAGGTCTGGTCGATGTTTCTGCAGCATTAGTGCCATTGCAAGATGGAGACACTTCCCCAATCGCATTAAACCTTCCATCCTCCTTGTTTTGATTTGAGAATCCATGACCAGATTCTGAGGTTGGTTGAAAGCATCTACCTTTGTACGTCCGAAAAACATGCCCGGAGTAGGGCGAAGTGACCAAATTCCTTCGCTGACCATTGAAAAAAGGATTTAGTCGACCGGAGTCCTCTCTTTCACAGCATTCGGTAGCAGCACGTTGACAAGGTGGATCGAAATCCAATAAAAAAGGATTTTTTGGCTTGACAGTATTGAGAGGTGATGGACATTGACTAGAGCTAAGCTTGGGGAAGTAATCCGATAGGAACGGATTAGTCGAACCTCCTTTACCCTTGCCTGCATTGTCAGAGCCAGACCCTTCAGGAGGACCTGAACGACCGAATCCTGCCTTCGAATGGGAACCAAAAGTCCTTCCGCATTTCCTATGCAAACCGTCAGCAGCACACTGCATCAACTGAGCTCCTCTTTTTTCAAGTGGTTCACCTGCAGTTGGCTTGATGGCAGAGTTTTTCATGTCCTTGTTGCTAGACTCGCAAGAATATACAGTATGGCCAGATGTCTTATCGTTTGCTCTATTTCGTTCCGTTCGTCTAGCTGAGGAACAAGTTACATGCATAGCGTTTCGACCACTTTGCAAGTCAGGACCATGATGAAATAGATACATCTGTTGCAAGGGAGATTTCGCAGCTTCACCCTGTTTTTTCCCGCCATCATATTGATTTTCCAACGCAGGAAATTGAAGAAAATCACAACGTGACAATAACCCGATTGGCTGCATAGTCCACATTTCACACAACATTCGAATTAGGTGAATCATGCTTTCAGTAGCTTTCTGCACATATCCAACGTTATGGATGGGGGACAAAAGTCGTTCTAGCCAAATATGAAGCAATTCACGATCTTGTGAACCCTTGAGAGTGACAGCTAAATTGTGAATAAGGCGAGAATTGGGAAAGAAACGTCTTCCCTGTGGAAAAATTAAAACCTCGTTGTTGATATCCTCACAGACGCTAATGACGTTGACAAGTCGCAGAAGAGAGACAGTTGAAATGTACACTAACTGAATTTCATTGATCTCATGCACTACGTTCACTTTATAATCGCAAACCATATCATTAGCCAAATCATTTAGAAGTCCAAAATTCAGGCTACCATTCGAGGCCTCTACTGCGCAAGCAACTAAAGCAACGGCCAAAGCAGTTGTTTGGTTCAAAATGTTGAATTTGACATCTGAATGATGACTGCCATGCCATAACGTCAAAGTTAAGGCCAGCATCTCAATCCAGTTACCCACAGATTTAATCTGGTAGCCAATATTTTTGTAAACATATGAGGCACACACCGTTGCCGAGCCTTTGGCAGTCGGGAGAGGCGAAGGCTTTAGCTTAAGCACGCGTCGACGATAAAATAAACCATTGATGGACCGCGAAATTTCAATAAGTGTGGATTCTGCACACCCATTCAGAGGCACAAGATCCTCCCTATAGCGTCTGATGAAATCCAGTGCCAAGCAATACTGGAGGTAGCGAATGCCTGCGCAAGTTTCCATAACAGAATCTAGAGCTGGATTCTCTCCTAGAACGGGAAATACAACAACGCCTGAAAGAAGGCGAGTGAAAATAACTGGCGAAAGAAAGCTTGAACGGTACAACTGAAGAAATTTATGTGGGACTTTGGACAATAATTTGGCCATCTCACATTCTGACGTGCAGCTTTCGGTAGTATTAGCACTGACGTATTGCTTTATATGCTTGAAACGGGATGGCTGTTGAGCCAAAGATGTGATTAGATCTGTTGATGACATTAGCCATTGCTCTCTTGGCTTCGCATCGGGAAATAGGTACCTCGCAAGATCCTCACCCTGCCTCAAGTCGATTTTGAGAGCTAAAGTAATCTCTACAAGTTGCTCCATAAACATGGAAATTGCATTCTTCTCCAGTTGCTTAACAGACTCATCGAAAGCACTTGCAAGAGAGTCAATAGATTCCAACCAGCTGACAAGTTCCCTTGCGCGCCGGACCATAGGTCGAATAGAATCCATTTTATCCGCGGTTTCTCGGCTACCAAGGTTATTGCGGATTCGATGCGGTAGAGGAAAATAAGAGCCGTTCGGTGGTTTAAAGAAAATAGCAAAGAAGGGGCGCAAGACGTATGGTACGCGATGAATACTAGAGTTCGATGGAGAAAATGCATGTGCGACGAGACACTGGGATTGTGGATTTAAAGATTGAGGGACTGGTTGAGAGGAGAGAAATCTAAGGGGAATGTAAACGAAGCAATTGAGATGGTCACTCGGTTCCTCAAACTCAAACAAAAAAAGGTCATTTGAATTGGCTACTAGAGGACAGCGAAGATACGCCGCCAGGGCGACACAAGCGGAAGTGCTATCAGCATCACAAGTGACATGTGGGAAATCCATTTCATTTAATATCTCCACAAATGTCTCTTTTGAAAAAACGGGGGTGTAAGACGAACCGTTGGAGTGTTCAATTCTTGAGACCTGGTTCGAGGCATGAACATGCTGCAAACTGGAGACTAGAATGCTGGTCCGCTTTTGAAGAAGGCGTACATTTTCTTGTAACCTAGATGCCTGGGTGTAAATATCAACTACGAATTAAGTGGGATCAATCGGCATTGAATGAATATTTCATGTATGTTAACGTGCAACACACCAGTACCCAACCCTCAGCATAAAAGCAACACCAAATACCTTCATGGTGAATGCACCTCCGAAGACAAAAATGGGTCGAATATTGCATTGATTGAAAATGTCCAAGATTTTCGCAAAATCTTCTCTCATTTGTAAATAATCCCCGCCATGGTGTTGAGGATGATTGCACGATCGAATAACATTTCGTATAAAGTCATGGGCATTAATAACAACGGTAGTGTCGTAAACTTGAATTGTTTGAAAGGCTGTAACTTCTTGTTCAATTAAAGTCCAAATATCACTGTGAATTAACATATCGACGTCGACCGAGGTTGCCTAGGATACCAAATAATGAGTCATAAGAAGCAAACAACGAATCATTCAAACTAGAAAAGGTTCTCTAGTATAAACTGGGGAAACGTGAGAGCATATAGCAGAGCATGTATAAATAGATTTAGGCGTCTTAGCAACAAAACACTTTATTGCGCTAAGACATTAAACCAAAAGCACAGATCAGGGATCAGGGGGCAGGTTACATAGACACAAATACAACTCATAATAAAACCACCAATTACCACACCGTCATGGTACCTAGGTGGGTGGCTGAAAATAATTGCAATAGCAAAGAATGGTGTTCAGAGGCACAAGTTCATTTCCATGGCGTAACAAAATTAACGTCTCATGGGTCACGCAAATTCCAAGGAAACGCGGACCAAATGCCAAGTTTCGAAATTAACGTTTCTATAACCGAGGCGTGTAGTTCGTAACGTAGGCACAAAATCAACGAATTAAAACAAACAAATATTGACTTAATTATTGGCTTATAATGCTTAAAGAGTAACTAATTGCTAAGTATTAAAATAATATCCGACCAGTGAACTGCTAATCCATCGGATCTAGTGCAGCGACCCTAACAAGTAGTTCTAAACTTGAAGACACGAGACCCGCTGCGAACACCACATGCCCATACCTCACAACCGACCGACCCCAGCGCCGTCACTCCGCCGGACCGAAAACCCACCGCCGCTACAGATGCTCGCCGACTGACACCCACCCGGGGAGGGCTAACACGAGAGGAACCCAAAAGAGCTGACCACAACATCCCAGATGGCAAAAAGACCACACAACCCTCGAAAGCAGCTTTAATGGCAAGAGTCGAGGCGCGCAAAAAAAATATTGTCACACTAATATCAGAGTTCCAGAGTACAAACTATGTAAATCCCAGAGTTCCTTCAAAATCAACATCGATCGAAAATGAGACAGCAGTCGCGAGATCTATGGACCCTTGTACTCCGAGAAAGCCATCATCTTTCGCAACACAAACAGAGGCGGGATGAAAATAGAGAAGAATGCTATGCATGTACCAACGCGTTCCTAAAACTAAACTATATTAACCAGAAGTACCTTTGTCGTAAGCGGCCTTTTAGATCGGATAACAATCGGCCTGTAGGACCTTTTGCACACCAGAATTGGCAGCCTACCCCAGATCATTACTTCCTCTGTGTCGTATTCAGACGACTCGGCTCCCCACCAAAAACGGGTCTTCTAAGCATTGTCAATGCTACTTAGGAAAAATTACCGAAAAAAGCCCCAAACTTAATTTCCTTTACTTTTATGAAATTAACTCTGTATAATAATAAGTGCTACATGATGTGTTTTGTGAGCTTATAAATGATGACTAAAAGGTCACTCTGAAGTTTCGCATTCCATTGAGATTTTGCAAAGTAAAGACAAGAGGACCATGTGATGCTTATCTAAGGAACTGTTTAAAAGCCAATAAGTCGCAAACAATTTGAGTCCATTTGGCAAAGTACCAATAACGGTGCATTCGTGTAAACACTACAGCATTTACATGGCGTGATGAGTGGCGCTCTAGGGCATTCCCCATGTAGAACAGGAATACGTGCGGTCTAAGAGAAGACGAAGGGATGGATCTTGGCATGGCCTAAAGCCCAGCCAACGTTACAAGTGCAAACCTAATACTAGATTGTCCGTCAGACATTAGTGTGATTTACGCTTGGGAGTTTGAGTTTGCCTTTATATGTAAGAGGCAAGAAGTCAATCGAAACGCGAATCCCGTACGTGGAGATCGTGAGAATTCCCTCTCCGGGTGATATCTGCTATCCGACTAGTCTATACTCCTAACTCCCCTTTTCTGTATTAAATGCCTAATAAATCTACTGCAACTAAAGCTCTCTTAAAGTCTGAGGTTTAAGGGTATGGAGGTAGCAGGCAGTCCCTACAATCGGATGGTCACATAATAAAAGTATTGCATACTGCATTCCTTTTAGTACTTCTGTTTTTATACCTCGGAGTTAGGAAAGTTAAGTCGGACAGGGACATGTATTAAGTAAACCTTAAAAACTGTGCAGTTGATTAGGCGTAAAAAGAGATAAAATTGTTGCCTTTCCAGAAGTAGTTGCCTCTACCCAATCATATGGGTAAAGTAAACTGATCTTTTGCTCCTTAAGTCGTTGTTTAACTTAAAGCGCACTGGGGACGAAATTGTGTACAAACTCATAAGACTATGTACCTAGAGACAAAGTTTGAGACTGATTGACCATAATTAACCGAATTTACATTAGTGGCTCATCACAATTTTACCCGCCAGGATGAACGTTTCTTTATGTCGCTTATAAATCCATGCGTATTACTTTTGGGCGCCTAAGCTCTTACTTCGATAAATGAAAAAGTAAAGGTTGTCCTTCGAAGTTAACCTTTCATTTTAAATATAAAGGAATATAGAATGT